TTTATAAAATAAAAACGATTAAATAATGTTGGGCTTAAGTTACAGCTCTGTTTTACTCCTGAAGAGTATGGAAATCTATTTGTTATTCTTCCGTTTAACAAGCTGTCGAAGATTCGGGTCAACGCAACGAGTCCGATGCCAATAAATATTCCAATAAATGTCAATAAATCCTACGTTCATAAACATGAATAAACATGCAAACTGAATCGCTATCTCGCGAGGCGATATTGGTTCAAATACTGCGTCAGGAAAACGTACGATTACTGGTAAACGCAAAACATCGAGTACACACTGCGAAGAAACCGAAAAAAACTAACAACTAACCTACCAGCCATTTTGTATAATGCAATATGGGTAATATGTAAAGTAGGTCGTATTCGTGAGGTCCTATTTGAGAGCTCCCAGATACGACCCAATGTGGCGTGCGCATAACCCTTCTCGTGGGGATCGCAGCAGTCCAGGGCGCCACCTACGCCAAATTGTCAGGCTACCGGAGCGGCATATGGACGGCAAATACTACGCTTGGTAATATGACCCATTGTACTGGATGTACTGTAAATCCTTACGTCTTTTGTCTTTATGCAGACTGTAATAAATGGCCACAGTTGTATTCATATGCAGATTTTAATCACTACAGATAACTGTACACAACTTGTAAACCAGTGTTGTATTACTAGTTATATATAACCCCACACATAACACAGTCTTTCGTATTTTGGTTTCGGTCCAGTTTCTATTAATTGCGTTCAAAAAAATAATAATGTCAAACACGGATACAGTCAATGGCTGGATTTACATGTTAGGACACAAAAGCGAAGAATGTAGAGGAAATTTCATGGAAACAAAAATGAAATGAAACATAATAAGAACTTTATTCCAACCATGAACAAAGTTTTAATTTAAATTTCTAATTTGGCATTTAAAATCAAATAAAGATAATAAATATAAAAAAACATATAATATAATAGATAACATAAATGTGACCGAGGTTTATTGTTGTTTATTGCTAAAATATAATTATATATTCACAGTCACTGTCAATAAAGAAATATATTACCCGTGTACAACAAGCAAAATCCACCAAAAAAAGAATCTTGAAACGGGGATACCCATAGATATCATAGCGTCTTTCGGTTTTGATTTTAGTATATATAATTCAAATTCATGAAATTTGCATTTACACTGTTGATAATACGAACATAGTATCTCTTCAAGTTTGTTTAGCATATTATTTACAGTGTAATAAATGATATTCCTTATTTTCAACTTCTTCATTACAATGAGAATGTAATCTGTATTCCACCAATCGCAAATTTATGGCAACTTAATCTAAATTGAGCTATTGTTTATGTATTTTTCTTGTTCCAGGTATTTTTTGAATGTACTATATGTGCGTAATTTGGCATTTTCCTCTTTGTTGTCTGTGTTTCATTTTTTAATGTAATATTTTTTAATTGAAGTGTTTAGTTCCTGCTTCGTCAGATCTGTGACACTGCCGTAAAGTTGTAAATTTCTTTCAAGGTTTAGTCATACTATTGTGGAGTTATTGTTCTTCATGTCCTTCATGACATAAAAAGCTAAATTGTCATTTTCGAGAGTCTGGGAATGTTCATAATAGTTTAATACTGAGTGATATATTCTGTTTATTGGTGGTTCTCTTCCTAGTTCCATTCTACGTCCTATTTTGTTCATTCTGTTGCCAACGTTTAGAATTTGGCGGCAGAAACGTAGATGTCCCAAGTTGAAAAACACCCAATATCTCACCTTCATGTGTAAGTGTAGTTGGTTGAGTCACATTCAGGAGTTTCTCCTGTATATCCTAATAAGTACTGTATTTGCTTGTCGAATATGTCTGTGACTGTATTCTTTCAGCTTTGTAAGTTTTGTCTTATAGTTTTTAGAGTTAATTAATCCATTTAACACTAGATATGTATATAATTCTTTTTTTCTGCCACATTTGAATTGCGTTGTATCTGGTCTGCGTCCCGATTTCCTGAATACAGTTACTTTAATATTTACTTTTTGTTTATTTGTAATCTCCAGTCTGTAGTGTATTTATGGACATTGTATTTCTATCGCATTTTGTAGTCTTTTGTAGAAAGTTGATATCAGTGCAATGTCATCTATATACATTAGGATGTAGTAAGTTTTGTCATTAAGTTCCGGTGCGTTTGTTTCAATTTCTCGGTTTGGGTGAATTATTTTATTTCCTTCCAGGTAATTTGAGATTCCGTTTTGTTATTGATCATACTAAATGACATTACCCACTGATACACTACAATAGTTGCTTGTGTCTGTCTTGTCTTCTTTCTTGTGTATTGGGTGTTCCATATTTGCGGACATATCCCTGTTTCTAGTACGTGATTGCACTCTTGATTGAATGCCTATTTAATATAAATGTGACCCACTTGCTTTATTATTCTTCAATGCTCTTGGCACGAGTATATGCCCGTGTGTAATAAAAAGTAGGAAAGTATGGCGAAAAATGACCGATATTGATTATTTTTTTAAAAATTGTTTTCAGTTGGTTACGATCACCCAAAACTTATAAATTAAAGAGAATATGCAAACTATTATTTCTTACCTGTGCACAACAAACACACAAAATCCACCAAAAACAGAATCTTGAAACAGGATACTTGAAGAAGAAAAAAGTATCATAGCCAATGATCGTTCATTTGAGATCAAATCAACAACCTTGTATGCACCAGTGAGTCATTACGTGTAGCGTTCATATCATGTTTGAATACAATAAGCAAAATCACGCCTGAAAAATGCTTGGTTACATATTCAATTTTTGGGATAATCTCCGTTTCGGTTTACTCCATCGGGGACTACAAGATATTATATTTTCGAAATTTGTCAAGGTCAAGTAAATAAGAAGCTTCGGGGATTGTGGTCAGAAGATTCAATCATACCAATCACAGAATCACCAAATTAAGCGACAATAGGGAGTTCAAATGACGAATTCATTGTTCAATAGTATGGGGAAATGATCTATGAAATATAAAGTTTATTAAAGTTATTCGTTGCGCGGTGTTTTATTATGCAGTATATGGATTCTATTCTATTATATTTTAAATTAGTTGAGACCGAATAAACATTGGTTAGCAAAGATGTCATTTTAGTAAATTATTGCCCCATTATGCATGGTCTAATATAAACGAATGATAAAACTGACTCGCAGTAAAAAATGTAATAGTATCACCCGAAGAGGGCACCATTATAATATCCTTGCCGAATACACGGACCTTGGCTGACGAAGATGGAGACTTGCCTGAACAGATGCAGGGTGTGTACTTATTGACACTTGGTGGCGCTGTTTAAATATAACACACCTTTCTTTCTGACGATGCTGCCTCGAACGAGGAACTACAACTGGGCCATACTCATAACGTACATTTATTAAGAATATGTCAATAGGTTGGCATTATTGGTCCAACATGTTGCATTTAACTCACACGTAATCACAACCTAAATGAAAACACAAAATTATGGTTTTACCACAATCATGTAATTTATTAAATCCCTTCAAAATAAAATAGTGCATATTCCAACTCCCATATTAATATTTACTGAAATATATAATAACAAAACCACACACAGTTGAAATCGAATTCCCCGCAAGAATTACATGTGCATAACCGACTAAATGACTCAATGAACGGTTAATTCAACCACCTTCCCTGTACAGTATGATAATCTGTTTAACAACCTGCCATCTCGATAAATTCGCTAGATAAACTAGTCTACATCTTGTACGTGAGGAAAGGAATGTGTGCGTTGTTATCGTCATATCGTGTTAAATTCCCCGTGCCAGTGATTATTTTATATAGTGCCAACTGTTAACTGATATTTCCGACGTCACTGACTTGGTATTGACGGTCATTTAGAAGCCCGGTCAAAATTTCCGTGGCGGTGTCCTGGTGACGTCATATTAACCCATAACTCCGCACTAAAAACAAACGAGTCGTACTGTAAAAAAAAATAACTACACAATTGCTAAATTATACACACATGAAATGTCGTCTTTTAAAACTATTTCGTATTTTTATAATCAACCGACTTGAAATATGTGTTATGAAAAGTTAAACGTAGTTCTCAGTGAATACTTCTCATTCGGTGACGTCTTTACATACGTAATCTCCCCACAGGGAGTTACTCAACAGTCAAAATGTAATATGAAAAGTTAAACGTAGTTCTCAGTGAATACTTCTCATTCGGTGACGTCTTTGCATACGTAATCTCCCCACAGGGAGTTACTCAACAGTCAAAACAGCGGATCAAATTAATGGCGTCCATCAACCGGTTAATTGGAAGACGATTTTACGATTTTGTCAAGAGGGAGCGAAGTATATTTATAACAATGTCGATGTTCCAAGATGTCATTAGGTCATTTGTGCATAGACTGGACATAAACAAGTAGATAAATGCCCACACAGGGGTAGCTGTTAGTATTATGAGAGATTTGAGACTTTTTACCACTTTTTTTCACGACTTTGTTGGCACAGGAGCAAGAAAAATTGAAAAGGCCCAAATCTCATGGATTACGTAGAGCTATGGACCCACATCTACGTGTAAACAGGAGAAGTCGATTGAAGTACACAATAGTAAACACGCCGTCATAAGAGTAAAGAAGAAGATACGCCTACACAGAAGACGCATACAGAGGAGGCCGGCTTGCATGGGAGGCATGCATACTTAGTAGACAGAAAATAGACGTTTATACAGAATGCATGCATACACATGTGAGGTCACACGTAAACGTTAGAAGGCACACATGCACTTGAAATACGAATATGAAGCATGCAAATACATGAGAATGTACACGTACACGTGAGAATGCATGCCTATACTGGATGAATTACGTGTCTACACGTGACACACACATGATACGGGAACTTTACACGTGCGGAAGTACACACAGACGTACACAGGAGACACACACACATAACAATCACATAGAAGGAGGTACACATGCACGGGCAGTTCAAAATTGTGAGTGAATAGTAACTAATCTTCCATGTTGAATTGTTTAAAAACAATATAAATAACGTCACACAGTTAAATGACAACTGCCTTATAACATTTATGTTACACCCGAACTGTTATTATTATAGTTTCGCTTCTCTGCCACACTGAAATTGAAATCGTTTTGAAACGTGCCCTGGGATTCTTTTGGATCATTCTACTGTGCGCCTGCTTGATACAAGCTAGTACGATCATCCACTACAATGTGAGCTCAAATCAAAAATCAGATATTTAATCAGGCATATAATATGCATATTTCGGAGCAAAACGCAAATCACCGAATGTGTCTTCATCATCTGCCTCGTCTAAAATCGACACCTTACCGCAGTAGACTTCTCGGTATGATGGAGGAGCTGTGTAACAAACAAACATACAATAACATGACAGTCAATGTTATGTGAGCATGACATAGCAAAGATGTGAATGTTTTTTCATGGAAGAGTCTGACATAACAAGTATACAGCAATGTACTAGAACATATGGACATTGATACAAAGATCAATTGTATAAACTCACAGTCTCCCAGTTGTAAAAACATTTTCTTGATAGAATCATGTTCAGTATACTTGTTAACTCGTGAAATGGGTTTAGCATTGAAATGAAACACTGGTAATTTTGGCGGCACTTTTCTCTATGAAAAGTGGTAATTTTTATGTGAAATATGGCATTGTTTTGAGACAGGTAAGAGAAAGGCTAATAGCATGGGAAACACATCGTAATAAAGTGTTGCAATAAAACGTAACATAACTTCTTTGGGTACACGTGCTATATTATAATATGAGAACATGTTCTACAAGATATTGCTATAGTCAAATTTGCTTTAAAGAGCTAAGAATGTTTTTCAATCTTGAAATGTAACAGTAATGCACTGTAAACACTGCTATATATGATGTATTCTCTCACTTGCCGCTGACTTATCAAAGAACCTGTTTGGGAAGACATTACTAATCATTTTAATGTAAAAAAAATCCATTAGGATTAATAATTCAGATGACATGTCACCTCTTTCCTTAATTCTAGGTAGCTAATGATAATAAATGTCATGAGTCAGAGTAATGGTTTTGAATTCATGCATTTTCCCTTAAGTTTAAAAGAAGCATCAACTTATCCAATATGTTCTAATATCAGTGAATACGTACTGTGTGATAGGGTGTGCACATACATAAATAACTTTTGTTTTTTCTTATGTTTGCTTTATTTATATTTTTTGCTTTTTTTATCTTGTAAATAAAAAACAACAATAACAACAACAACAACAACAACAACGTCATATTTACGTTTTGTATACATTGCACAACAAATCTTTTTATGTGAATAAGATGGCATACATCAATTTTGTTCTACTTTGGAAAGAAATCAGCAAAACATGGGGAACTATCCCAATTATCAATGAGCTTGCATTATTATTCGAATGCCCTCTGAACCACATCTGCCAACTCAACCGTGTAATGTCATTCCGGTCATACAGATAATTTCCCCCACTTTACTACTACGTACAATAAAAGAATAATATGATACGTAGTTGAAGAGGTGGCGTTAGTTTTGTTTATATCTTATTCTCTGAACTAGCTATTACGTGTCATAACCTTAATTCATAAGAAAGCATACTACTAAGTAGGGCAATTGGACAGTGCGTGATTAAGAAGCACAACTATTCAATCATATGCAGAGAAGAAACTATACACAGCATATCCCTGGCAGATTCGTAGACAAAGAGACATTAATTTATTACACTAATTCTCCTCAACTGACAACATCTTCCAGTACAAATGTAACTCCCAAAAATGTTGAGACCGAACACAGATGTACACTAATTAGTACCTACTAATTTAAGCGTGATAGCAAACTATGCGATACAGAACTAGTCTTAAACAATAGGAAAACTAATCTATGAGTCCGTTTGTGCAGTGCTATTTCAGATCTTGATCGCTACACACTTAATGATTGACCAAAACAAACTTGTGTGTGACTAAGCTGCTCGAGCACTCCATGTGAAATATTGGAACATTAATTATTTTGTTCGCATGCAACCGTGCAGTTCTGTCTACAGAGTTAACTCTGAAGATAGCTCCCTCAAGTGGTCCTCAGAAAATGCTGGGAGACTAAGCAGAGGACATTGTACCCTGCATGGCATATTCAGTGCTATAGGTGTTAGGATAACATCTGCCCCATCTCTTGTAGGGAAAACTCAGTTAACAATGGGCAGTGAAACAGTGACCGGGTGGTTACGCTGGTACACAAACTAAAACATTTGTCTAGAAGAAATCACAGCAAAGACTCTTAGACTTCTGGTTCACTCTCCTGGACATTGATGTGACCAGGAAGCTGCTGTATATGTTTGAGAACCGGGTGCATCTTGGCATCCACTTCCTTACGAACCACCTCTGCAATTATACACGATCGACCAATGAAAGTTATGCTGATAAAGACCCTCCTAACATATCCACAATTATTGCAGAATTTTGAGCATTACTATCCAATGGAAAAGGAACATCTCTTAAAAAGCTAAATTTAACTGTCAACTAGGCAATACCGAGTTCTTTAAAATATTACATTTGTATCACAAAAGTTGTGAAAAAGAAATTATTAATAAACGCGAAAATTCTCAGGTAGGAATTGAAATGTGGTTACGGTCATTTCTGAGAAAATGTCCAGGCTAACTCACAATTGTCCAATGCAAATGTTTCACTGTTTTTCAAAACAGCTCCAAGGAAGTAAAATGTCCCTTAGCTGACAGCTTCCATACACTGTGCGCTGCATTCAATGTTTATTATAATTCGGCTATTGCTAGTCCTGGACTATATACATAACAGTAGTTGGCTTATTGCGAGATATGAGTTTTTAATATGAACAAAGATGGCGACCAACTAACGTGTTGCTACCAACTAACGTGCACAAACTGGGACGTTACTAGGTTTAACTAGGTGATTTTGTTTGTAGTTGGAAGTTATTCAAAAATTCAATGGCATTAATTAGTGCACGTCGCGCTCAAGTCAAAACTCGTACTTGTGATTTTTTTTAGAAGAACGTATTGGAAAAGTAATGTTCATCAACCTAAATGTCGCACATGCGCGGCGCGACGACCACCGCCTAGACCATCAAACAATGGCAGAGCAGGTAGCAAGAAAAAAAACCCTTCAAATCTCAGCCTGATTTGCATTTAAATATTAACTCTAATGAAGTGACGTCACCAATAGTAAATTCTGTCATAGACGCATGCCTACCTATCACTAGAATGTGTAAACTGATGCTTACTACTTTGAATGCCAGATCCATTTGCAACAAAGCCATTGAAGTCAGAGATTACGATGATATTGATTTACTTGCATTAACAAAAAAGCCTAATGAAAGAACCAGCAGACGACCATGTTATCAATGAGTGTATTCCTAGAAGCCAAATCATTTAAACATACACTGCGGACTATGTAATCGGGTTGTGGAATTGCTCTCGTTTAAATCACCCATTAAACCTTCTGATTGGAAACGAATGGAAAACATTACATCTTTTGAGGCAACAGTAGTTAACATGGTTTACCAAAAATTTTCCCCCGAACTTGTCATTCTATATCGTCCCCATCCAACGTGAAGAACACATTGACTATTTCAAAGTTTCTGTCTGAGTTTGGTGCCACAATGAAGAAATCATATTATTTGGTATTCGCTTCATGGGTGGTGACTTTACCGACTCAGTTCCGATGCCAACAATTCACTGACATTGACAATTTATGTGGCGTCACAGTGAGTTCTTACAGTGAGTACATGAACGAACTCATCTCTGTGGACATATCCTAGACTCAATGCTAAATAAACAAGCGTCCTGTGAAAAAAACAAATCCTCGCCGTTTGCCCAAAGTACTATTCCAGTGAAAATGACTTAGACGATTGGCAGAACATAAATGGAGAACTACTAATCTTGAAATACACTACCGAACTTACAAAGACTACGACATACAATTATTTAAATCTGCAGTCATAACCCTGCTAATCAAGAAGGCCACCCTTGATGTGGTATAAACGAACAATACCCGGTCAGTGATTTATGCATTCAAAAGATTTCACTATCTAAATGTAAAAACGCACAACATAATCTGGTGACTATGCAAAAATAGTTATGTTTCTCTTGTTTTAATTTACAATCTTCAGGAAATATAATTGTGTTATCTGTAATTTTTTCACAAAATTCATTTAATAAAGGATTTATTTACTTAGCACTCACATGACTACATGAAGGTTATGTCTAACGTAACACCGATTTTTAATTATTGTAAATTATGAGCTTTCATAAAATAGTTTGATATGGTTTAAAACAAGTCCTATATTTAGTGTGAATTTTACTTTCTGAAAATCTCTACAACATCGATATCATTAAATGGTTTAAGACAATTTTTAAGAAATATCAAATACAAAAAAATATCGCATGGTGGTCGCGTATCCCCCATATTGCGTCTTAACTTTTTACTACAGTCATCAAGATCGAGTATTTTAAAGAATACATGTAACATGAGACTCATTTATTTTCCAAGCATTTAGTGTGGTTTATTTTTTTTAGCTACAGCGCCTTTAACATGACACTGCCGCCACATAAATATTTTTGATTGATTTGAAGGAATTAGTAACATACTGGGGGAAAATGGGAAAAATAATAAAGAATATTACTCACGCATAATTTCATCATGAAGAGATTCTTCCGAGGGAAATTTGGCCAATGGTGATAAATCCGTAAAGGTGGACGAGTCTTCCAGATGACGTAATTGTTTACTACCAATAACCACTGGTACTTCTATTAGTAAATTATGTTTGGCATGTGATACTTCAGCCTCGATCTAAAACAACAATATGAATTGTATAACTACAATCATTATATAATATTACATTAAATCAGTATACAATGCACCACCAGTGTTTTAATAAACGCAATGACGTTTTCAGATTGGTTTCGTGAAATGATATAACCACAGCATTTGAATCGCGATTACGGAAAAGTACAGAACACTACTTGAGGAGATTAGTCAGATTAAAGGTTAACCAATTAGAAATTGAAGAGGGTTCTTTCCACGTACATATGTATCCAGAACATGCTGTTTGCATTTTTATTTTAAGTATATGTATTTTCACACGTTTTAAAGATTTTTAAATACTAGTATAACTATTTATAGCATCCAATTCATTATACCAAACCCCATTTATTTTAAAATTTGGCCCTTATCTGTTTTACTTGGAAATGTTGCTCACCGTTTACAATAGCTGGGGATTCCTTATATTATATTAGTGAGCAAAGATTTGCTGACCTGCAAAAATTTCGCCAGCCATTTACATACCCCCCTCTCTATTTGAGGGGCAAAGGAAAATCACGTGGTACTTTCGCTCTTAATGAAATTTCGTCGGCCATTTGTGTCTCTGAATTATAATGTGCGCATGTCTGGTTATCTCTGGTTATCTCCAGTAGATCGCTGAGTTAATGGTTACTACTTAATCAAATAATAAATTGACCAATATATATGTCACATTCGTATATCCGTTACTTGAGAGCAGAAAAACTTTCATAGAATTGGTTTGTCAAGTGGCAAATATTCATTTTGAAGTCGCACAACCTGTTTTCGAGTAAAAGAAAAACTGAAAGTAAAATCATGAACTTGACATACCATTGCGATGCACATTTTCATACCTTGAGATAATACTGTGTATCTATTAAATCACAACCTTCAAGTCCACTGGGCGGAACTGGTGGAATTTCAAGATTGGCATTCCAAGTCACTTTACTATGTGGTTGACATCCCTCTGTGTGCGACTGTGTTGCAATAATTTCTTTACTACGACAGACATTCATAGTCTTCCCACACCTCACACCAAACGCTGTATATTTCACGTCCTGGTGATACAAACACACATTGTACGGGAATAGTAATTTGATGAATATATAAATCAATGTGTTGTAACTATATTACATGCCCGGTCACACACAATTAACATTTAATAAGTCATTGAAAATGACGCAGTCCCCGTTAAAATTTGGGAAGTTCTCTTTGTGCTCGTCATATTAAAGCGGAGGGGTTGTCGCGAGCGTGTCCTTGAAACTTGAGTTCCAAGTGGCGTATACAACAGATTGTTTATTTACATCAAAACACGAGTTCATTGTAGTAGTAATATGGCCAAAAATAAAAACAGCCATTATTCGGCCATCTTTGATCTGATTATGAAACACACTGATATGTATGATGTATGTGTACATAAATTGTGGAAATATAGCAGTAAGGCCAAAAAGTCAGATAAAGTACATGTATGTGCCAAATTTGAATGAAAACTGACAGAGCGCGTCCAAGATACCGCATAAAAAAACAAAAACAAGATGCCTGCCAGTCGACCATCTTTGATCCAATTGCGAAATAAATAGTCATGGACATGTATCCTAACATGTATAATCTATGTACCAAGTTTGAATGACAACTGACAAAGCATGTCCAAAATACAACATTTTCAAAAAACAAGATGGCTGCCAGTCGGCCATTTTGAATCGAATCGCTAAACCACTGCATGTGCATATGTCCCACATAAGGTACTAGGCACATGCAAAGAATGAACGGAATCGGTCCACAGGATTCTGAAATATGACTCTGACAGACTGACGCACGGACGATGGACACACAGACGGATGGACGGACAGACTCAGACTCATGGATGGTCGGGACATGTATCCTACATGTATATCTATGTACTAAATTTGAATGAAAACTGACAACCATG